TCCAATGGTGGCAACTCTGAAGCTGTAAAAGTGGCAGAGCTGAGCCTAGAGTCTGAAAGATGCTTTATTTATTCATCTATTATATTTTTAGCCCACCCTATTAGCCACATGGCTCCTTGGGCAGGTTACAGACAATAAAATCATATAAAAGACCACATAAAACATTAAACACAATATTAAAGTCTTAATCATAAAACAGTAAAAGCACACCCATGTTACATCTTAAGAAAACAATTGATTACGTAAAGGCAAATCTACCACTGTTAAAATCAATGTAACAAATTTATTTATTTAAAATATTTATATGCCACCTATTTTACCAATGGCATCCCTAGGCAGCTCACAATTTAAAATACTGGCAGAGTAAAAAGGTCTTCACCGGGCACTGAAAAAGAATATAAAGAGGATGCCAGGCTCCTCTTGGGAGCTCATTCCAAAGTCAGGATGCCACTCCCAGAAAGGCCCTTCTTGTAGCCCACCCTCCGTATTTCCTGACGAGAAATTCAGCCATAGCTGGAAAAACAAGAATGGCAGAAAGTTATCATTGGGACCTATAGGCTGATCCAAAGTAAAAAATCAGCCTGCCACTGAATTTTGTCCAAGGCCTTCTCTGCATCCGAAGAAATTACAGTGGCTGTATCTGTTCTGTCTGTATTTAATTTAATTAGATCAGCAGTTTGTTTAAGACTGTCATCCCCCTGTCTCTTGTTAATAAATTCCACTTGATATGGCTCACCTAATGTTACAGTAACTTGTTCTAGTCTTACCAGACAAAGTAATATTAACATTGTGATCAATGAGAGCGATCAGTAATTGGCACAATAAGTGCTACCTTCATATACTTTAGAAATTACAGTAATGTAAGCATTAAGTACTTATGCAAAAGAACCTGATTTAAAAATGAAATTAAACGGATGATACAGCTTGGAAACTAAAACACTAGAAAATGTTTTATATCAGTTGAAAATCTGTTATGACCAGGTAATTTCCAAGTATTCATATTTATTTCATAATTTCCTCAATATGCAAAGTTGCCTGTAAACTGCCTTTGTAAAGAATCTGAACAGGGAAGAGTAACATTAGAAAGTTTCCATATCTTACTCTGCTATTTCCCAACCTCTGCTTTACATTTCTGAATATAAAATCGAGAATTTATGTCTTCAGCACCATACAACTATCAGTAATTACTGAAATAATAGTCTGCTGTTTTTGTTGCTTGAGCTAATGTGCATTCTCTCAATATGCTCGTCTCTTAATTGGTTGCCACTTTGGCACAGAGATGCTCAGGGCAGGCTGGCAAGAGTGCCCTTTTCTATTTCTACAGTGGAGGTGGAGCAGTTTCTAGTATATCAAGGCAGAATGGTGTGAGAGCCGTACTACTTGGGGTCCCGTTCTGGTGATAAGAGAGAAGTTGCCTGCGGGTGAACTGCCCCAGGAACTTCAGCTATTGTGCAGTATAGAAATGCAATAAATATGCGTAGAAGACACATGAGAACGGTCTGCAGTGAGCACAGACATTGCTTGACTGTTACATCAAGCCAGATGAATGTCCTTGCTCTCTGTACGGTTGCACAGAAGTCTGTGCCTGTGTAGATCAGCATTTCAGGAACTTCTGGAGTTCAGAGGTAGACCCTGACCCTGCTCTTAGCTCCTGTCAGTTACTGCCTTTTTTTTCTTCTTCTTCATTGCCTCCCTTCAGTGTGGTCATGCATTCTGCAGGGATTCTGATGACAATCTTGGCTTGCACTGCTTGGGTCTTCTAAGCCAGTAGCCTCAGGATTGGACTTCAGGCTACCTGATTCACTGGGTATATTCATTTCCCTGTAGCCAAAGCCTCAGTTTCTTTGAATTTTGCTCCCATATACCCAGACTGGCATCCATGCTATGAGGGTAACGCTCCAGACACATCTGATACCTTATTTGTCATCCAGCTAGCAGTGCCCTAGCTAAGCATCCTGACCAATTGTGGTTGCTTCATGTTTTAGACAACCAAATATAATTTAAAGGGAGTTGACCAGTATTTTTATAATACGTCAGGGAACGTTGAGATTCTCTTCCAACTTTTAATTGCTTTTTTTGTGGGCTGGTTATTCTTGAGTAGCCACCATTTTCAGTGAGGAAGGTAAGTTTATATAATGCATTCAATGACTGAGGCTTTTTTGTTGGTGGCACATTTTTATTTATTATCTGTATGTTTTCTATTATGAGTGACCTCTTATATTGCTTCCCCTCAATGTTCATTTTTAATGCTTAGATCTTAACTTTCAGTCACCACCCCTTGGAGTCAAACTCATCTTACCATATCAGATTTTCAAAGTGATCAGCACACTGTTGGCCTTTTTATATCACTTGGGAGTTAAGGACTCTCTGATGATTTAAAGCCAGAATTTACTCAAAATTTCAAGTAGATTCTGGTTTGTGTTGTACTAATCTGACTTTTGTTAATGGCCCTGACAGCCTCGGCTATTGGGTGGTATAAAAATGAACAAAGAAATAGTAACTTTTCAGTTTTCCATAATCTCACAGAAGATTATATGTATATGGTTCTAGAGCAGAGCGTTTAAAAAGAGAACTCTACTGAATGTGTTGCAAAGATCTGTCCTTGGTGTGCCTACCCATGTTGGTGTATTAATACGTGAAGACCTGACTGTATATGGATTTCTTTTCCAAGGATTACTGTTTTCTGAGGATCATGGCAGAAGAAAACCCTGCCTCTGCCACTCAGATTTCTTTTTCCTCTCTGAGTAGTGGAAAGAAGAGATTGTGGAAACCATTTGAAGCAGAGCAGGTAGTTCGAGGCTTCTCACAGAGTGCACATACAGACTCTCCACACCCTCTCTCTATTATTTATGAAATTACATATTTGATCTGCCTTCACTGAACGTACCTTCACTGAACGTAATCTTCTCAAAATTCACCCTGCTTTTTCCTTTTAGGAAGCAGCATGTCTGACTCAAGGTCCTGGTATAAATAGCTTTACAAGAGACACTTGGTGAATACTTGGAAAACATGAACACTGGGCTAAGTTGTGGTTTTGGCAATGAATTAGTATTACTTGAATGTTAAATTCCTAGTAATGTGGCATCAGAGTAGCAAAAACATAGGGATTTCTGGTATCATGGAGCCTGTGCTAAACTTTCTGTTCAATGCACCAAGGAAGGATGGATGGGCTTCCTGTAAACTGTTACTAGCTCAATAGGAAGAGTTGGTCAACCTTAACAGGTACTAATGTTCAGCACCTTTCCTCTGTGGCGACTGCATCTACACCAAACACGAAGCAATGTTTTAAGTATGCAAACTTCTTCCAAAGGAAAGAAATGGTTTTTCAGGCTTGAGCTACTCTAGAGACTGTTTTCAGAAGTGTCCTTGTGGTTTGGGTATATGAGGCTTCCCAGAAAGCAAACTTAATGAAATTCAGAATATTAATGAAACACAGGAATAAAATGTAACAGACTCATTTTATTTCCAGGGGCCTCGCTGTAGTCGGAGCCTGCTGCCTCACAGTATTTTAAGGGTCTAACCCAGCAGTGCAAGCTACAGACAGACGCGTTTGTAGCCTCCAAAGCTCTGTTTTGTGACTCTTGTTAGAATCTGGTGCATTTCAGATTTTGAAAAGGTCAATTTTTGCTTGCCCTTATTGTTAGGCTGCAGCGCAAGGGTCCAGGAAAATGAAGAATCCTATGTTGATAACCAAGCTAGAAAGCTGTATGAAAGTTGTCTGCCTTTACTCCATACTTTTAAAGACTACAAACGACTGACATACTCAGATGCATTAGCATTAAGTACACACGGTTTGGCTAGAAATTCTCTGGATGTATTTGCAAAGCTGTTCAAGGGCAATGTTAATAGAAGGACTTGTTGACCCGTCTTTATTTGACACCTACTGGATTGAGGGAAACTCAACAATATCTTATTTATGCTACCGAACATGTAAAGTGGCTGGCTGGCTGACTCTATTGGCTCATATTATGTAGCCAGCTAGGAACAGGTATTGTTACCTGAGGTGAGGCACACCAAGTAGATAATTAAAACTTTCAGACCCCCGGTAAGTATTGGCAAGTAAATTGAGAGCTAATGGCACTCTTTGCGAAGGACATTACAAAGGTTTGTTTAGCTCAGGGTGCAGTACAGATGCATCAAAGTCACTCTTGCTTAATGGGCCAAATCTCAGATGCTGGCAGCTGTAAACCCAAAGCACAGAGGCCACCTGCTGAAGAATGCAAAACACATGCAGAGTCAGCAGTGGGCGTTGTTCTGTATAGTTCACAGAATAAGTTTTCTGCTGCAGGTATAAATTCAGTTGGTTGTGCCACTATTCCCGAGCCTGATGACTTCAGGAGCTGACATTGGGTTGGCAGCTTGAAGGAAAATATTTGTGTGAATGCATGGCATTTCCTGTAAATTAAGCTGAGCTGCTTGATTCTTACTGCATTTCAATTTGTATTTGTGTACTTGTCAACAGCAAATGTTGGATATCTCTTTTCTCAAAAATGATGGGCGAGAGTCAAGAAAATAGAAAGGTTTCCCTTCTACAGGAAACACAGCATACATATTCAAACTAATAATTGTTTTGCATCACTGTTTCTGAATGCTGTTTTAAGAACCTGTTGACATCTAATGTGACATGGCTGTAATCTGTGACTTTCTGTATGCTTGCAAAAATATTCCCTAAAAGATAGATGCTGTTGTATACTGCCAGATTGAGGAGGTTTTGCCTGTTTTAAGGTATATTACAAATATTCTGATTGCTTAAATCTAGCCAACTTGTTCACCTTTTTGGAAACATCATTTTACCTTGAATCACATGTTCCATTTTATTGGCCTCCTTCATATAGAAAATATAGCATTGGATATTTGTGGTCTTTAAAAAAGCAGTATCTTCTATGTGAAAGGAAGTTTTCTGTACATTTCCCCCATGTCTTTACATCATGGTAGTTTGAATAACCATGCTTCCATATTCACATCAACTTTTTTGTTTTTGTTTTTCAATTTATACACAGCACTTGCTCTGAAATTTGGGGACTGAGTACACCAAATACGATAGATCAGTGGGATACAACAGGCCTATACAGCTTCTCTGAACAAACCAGGTGAATATTCTGCCCTGTGTCTCGTTGTAGAGATCTTGTGGGAGGGTTTGGCTTTCAAGGGTCTTGTCTAGTGGAAATGCTTCCTAGTCAGCAAAGCATTTAAAAACTGATTCTGCCTTAAGTGTTTTCAGCTGATGTTTTGACCGATGACATTCTAATTTGGGGCAAAAAAGACAAACTTCTCTCTGGATTAGTGTAGTGCTGTCTGAAAAGGAAATACATGGTTTGGTATTTGTTAACAAGATTGGGACACTTCAGCTCTCTTATGAAGTGTGTTTAAAATAGTTTGCACACTGTTTTTTTTTTGAACAGGTATGTGCATTCAAAGACTTAGGAAAAAATCATCTAGGTTTTTGATGGTTTTTTTTTTCATGTCACCCTTTACTTGCATTGTGTGCTGAAGCTTCGTCTTTCCCATCCCATGAGTCATAAACCCATCTGCATTTGTGTAGGCCTAGGCAGTCTATCTTAAAACTAGCAAAACTTTTCAACTGGTAGCAGCAAGGGATGCAAGAATTCAATCTGATCATGAAACCACAAGCAAGTGCGATGTGTGTCTGATGCAAGCTTCATGTTGTTAGCTGATGTGAATTGCTTGGATATCTGACTGCTATAACCTTACGTGCAGTCGTGTATGACAGATGTACTTAATAATATCTGTTTTAGCATAGTAATAGTATTAACAATGTACTGGTTACTTAGTTCTTTAGCAGTCTCTAGAGCTCCCTGCAACACAGGGGTTCCTTAATTCAAGTGCCAGTAATAGAGTGAGTGTGTGTGCGCGTGTGTGTGTGTGTGTGAGAGAGAGAGAGCGCACACAAGTGCACGTGTCAATGATTCCACCTCTTACGTAAGAACAAGAAGTGAAGAACTTAAATGTCTGCTGTAGCTCGCTTTGGGCATGGGTGAGAGAGAAGAGGGTTGCTGTCAGTGTCATGGCTCTGACTATCTCAGCTTATATGCTGCTTGTAAAACTCTTCTGAATATTTTGGAATATGTTTCTTCCCCTTAGGTCTCTTGATGGCCGCCTGCAAGTATCTCACCGTAAAGGATTACCACATGTTATTTACTGCCGCTTGTGGCGCTGGCCCGACCTTCACAGTCACCATGAACTTAAGGCAATTGAAAACTGTGAATATGCTTTTAATCTTAAAAAGGATGAAGTATGCGTAAACCCATACCATTACCAGAGAGTGGAAACTCCAGGTAGGAAGATGGCAAGCTGCTTTTGGCACAAAGGCCTTGGCTGCACAGGCTTTTTTTCTGTTAAACTGCTTTCTAATCATACTTAGTGTGTGCAAAGTTAAAGTAAAAAGGGGTTCATATTATGCTTTTATTTCTAACAACCTGAGTGGGAATTGAATCCAAATTTTAATTTTTACAATAGTGCATAAATGTTGTGGTAATTAATCAAAATGTTAATGATGTGTAAATGTTGAAATGTATGTTATATTGGATACATGTGTTCGGAGCCCTAATTGCAAACTGTTGCAAACATTTCTGTCAACTAGCTCAGCAATGCATCGCTTTCAATTAATCGTTGTTTGTTCCACTGCAGAGACTCTGGTGGTCACAGTATTTTCAGCACAAAGAAATAAAACACGCAGTATATGCATGGGTAGAGACTCTCCCCTTCTCCAGTGCTGGCCGTGAAGCCAGCCAGTGCCCTCATCCTTCCTGTGGTAGCTCTGGGGCAAAGATTTCACAGACCAAGGGCAGCTCCTTAGAGTGCACCTACATGGGATGTTTTTCCACCTTTGATGGTTTCCAACAGTTTTATTTATAAGTCATGTTGAAAAAGTCTTGTTAGGTTTTGGATATATATTTTTTTATCCTGCTGTTCATACAAGGAGCCCAGCGGGGTGATTATGCTTGCTTTTAAGATGGAGTATATCGGGAGAAGGTGAGCAGCTTCATGGCCAAGAGGGGATTGGACCCTGGGCCTGCCTGGTCCCAATCAGAAAACATCTCTTCTGTTGAATAAGATGAAAAACATCTCTGAGAGATCTGAGCTCAGATCTAACCCTTAAAAACCACCTTGGCCAAACCCTGGCTTCAGGCATAAACTTTTTCTCACCAGGTGGTTCTGGGGAAAACCCATGCATACTTTGGCAAGCTCCTCAGATGAAGGGTCTGTGATGGCCCTTCGTAGGAAATGTTAAGAATACCTAGGGGATGAAGAGCTTGAAAAAATAATACCAAGCCCGAAACATTCTACCCGTATTCATCTTGCTTGGTTTCTAGGCTAGATTCGGGTATGATCTGAGTAGACATATGGGGGATTGCACTGTTAGTCCCATAGGTAAGATTGCTACCATTTGAAGAGAATGCAAAACCTATGTTTTCCAGGCTTTACAGACCTATCTAGTGCTGGAAGCCCTAATATTTTGGGATGTTTTTTTCTCCCAGTTCTGCCTCCTGTCCTGGTGCCACGGCATACTGAGATTCTGACCGAACTTCCACCACTTGATGACTATACTCATTCCATTCCCGAAAACACTAACTTTCCAGCAGGAATTGAACCACAGAGCAATTACATACCAGGTATTAATGTAAACGCAGAGTTTATTATAAATACCACTGGCCTATGTGAAGAATTGAGGCTAGCGGTGTCCGTCCTGCCCAAGAAAAGCAAGCGGCACGGGAAGTAAGGTCTAGCACCCCAAGACTTGGATTGCTTCACAGCAGTCATGAGTGACCCACTAAAAGCTGCTTCTTCCATCAACGACTCTTATCTTCATTGATAAGCATGTACTACATTCTGCCTGTCACTTGTACTTTTCTTGTGTCTGAGTCAAGCTGGTCTTACTGCTTTTGCAGATTGTACAACCTTATTACAAAGCCTTGGCCCAGCATAGCTGCCTCTGGGCCTGTTAAGATCTGCAGAGACTCTTTGCTGTGAGTTGTCAGAGCCCAGGCCCTCTTTGACTGTGGCACCGGCAAGCTGCAATTCACTGCATGTAGACAGTCATCTCCAGCCTTTGCTGAAGGCCTGTAAAACAAATGTTGCATCATTGCCCAGGCCTTTTATCAGCATAGTTTGAAATGTGCCTTTAACCTTAATTAATTGCGGTTTGTTTCTGTAGTTTGATTTGGTTGTATGATACTTAGTTTTATGGCTCATAGTTCTAGTTCGTTTGCTTATGTTTTATGTTCAGGCCACCTAGAGAGTGTTTTGGCAGATAGATAGGGTCTAAGCCATGGAAAAAAATCCACGTGGATGCCTTTTTCTTAACATCCACAGATCTTTTTAGAGGCTGTCATGCCCTTAAAGTCCTACAAAATGAACTTCAGGAACTCTCTTTATCAGTTCCCAGGCTTCATGTTTATTTAAATTGTGGGGGTTGCTTTACTTTAACCCTGAGAAGTTTTCTAGTGCCACATGAATTCATTGGTTAAATAGCTGGTATTTTGCTTGGCTTCAGAGTGGAGCAGAAGCAGCCTTCTAGAGAGCGACTGGTTGTAGTGTAGTCCCATTTGCCTGCGAAGCCAGAGCTTCTCAGTAAACACTTCTAGAAACCTGTCCCTCCGCAGTGTACAGGTTATCTAGTTCATGGACTGTGACAGGTATGGGAGGAAAGGGAACGGAAACTGAGGTATGGGTAGGTCTTTTTCTGGTTTCTACTTTCCTCAAGGACAGCGACATAAGGAGAATCACTGTATTTTGTAAAGGTGCCGTGCATGTGCTCCTCCTTTTGTAAGCATATATAAAACGTGAATGCTGTATTGTTCACTGGCATGTAATGGTGAACCCCATGTTTTAATCACACATGAACTGTACTTTGCTCCTGATAGAAACTCCACCTCCCGGCTATATCAGTGAAGATGGAGAAACAAGTGACCAGCAGTTAAACCAAAGCATGGATACAGGTAACAATTGTAATTTTTGCTGTATGCTCACTTCCAGGACTTCTAGAATGTGGAGAAATTTAATTTGTCCAAATGACTTTCCCTTTGTCCTGCCAAAGATTTAATGTATTTATTGGAAATATTTTAATACCATGTTTCCGTACTTCAGGGCAGTTCACAAATTTAAAACATTACCGTAACAAAAACTAATTGTATCTTAACAATCAGGCCATAATTTAAAAATAACTATGAAGCAAAACCTGGACAAGCAAAGCGGCACTATCTTATATAAAGCTATTGCTAAATTTCCTGAGAAATAAAAACATCTTGCCTCCGTTCTAGAAATAGAAAGGAGACAAAGCCGTATGAGCGAATGTTGGAGGAGCTGGATGCATTGATTGTTGAGAACAGACAAATTGGAAGCAGTATAAACTCCCTGAAACATTTGAAGGGCTGTCAGGTAGATAATGGTGTGGAGCTGCTGTCTTTTCATCATGGATGTTATTTCTGTTATCAAAGGCACTTGTCCTACTAAGCTCAAGTGCTATGCAGGAAGTCCTGGAGCAGTATGGGTACAGCTCTTAATCGCTGCGTGTTAAAGGCAAGTACCAGTATGTAGAGCTTAGAATGAAAACAAATTTCCAGCCAACATAGTTCTTGGAAAATCAATCAGCCATGTTCCTATTCCTGATGCTGATTGGAGGATGAGCAGCAGCATTTTGTGCTAGCTACAGCTTATGCATAGTCTTCAAGAATGGTCCCACAGTGAGCATGTTGTGGCAGGTAGTTCCAGAGGTTATGGAAACATGGATCAGTGAGGCAGGATCCCTCCTCTCTTAATAGGGATCAGTGCATTCAATAAAAGGCCCCAGCTACTGTTGACAGTTGTTTCAGAATGCCTTCCAGGTCCTGGCCCTGCTTAGATGGGAAAACAGCAGTAATTCCAGCTATTCAGGCCTCTCCAAATTTCTTCCAGAGCACTGAGATTACTGCTGGCCAAGATCATTCCCTCTTCCCACAGGACATTTTCTTTCGGTCTCAAGGTATGCTCAGAGAGTCAGGAGTGTACCTTAAGCAGCATCCAGAGCTGAGCCCTGCATTAAATGGGTTGTGCTACTGAGGCGGCAGTTTTCTGTGCTTGGCTCCTGCTTACCCTTGGGGACAGTAACTCATACCTTAGAGGGAGCAACTGTATCCCCAGGGCAAGGAGGTGCTGCTGCTGTAGCCCAGTTCAGATACAGAAACACAGCGCCATTAGAGTTGATACCCTGTCTTGTTAACAAATGGGGAGAGTAGGGGGAGAATGCCACCTCTGTTTGCCTTGTTCAGACACAGCAATGAACTGGTCCATGCCAAGCCAGTAGTGGAAGCTTTATATTTCCTCCATTCCACACACAAACCCTAGACTTGTGCCGGTTCACACTCCTAATGGTTATTTGTTGTGTCTGAACTCAGTCTTAGTGTCTCCAAGTAACTGAATCTGAACCAAAGCCTCTTGTTAGTTAAAAGTATGAATATCTTTAACAAAATTATTCTCCATGAATAAAAATTGATTGTGGGATAAATATCTTGCACACACAAATCAATTGAAACACCAAAATCAAAGAATAGCAAGCAGCAAACCAGTTACATCAATTAATGCAAGGCAGTGGGTAAATTTGCCTGATACAGGAACCCTTCCTGTGAATAAACAATATAGGGTGGGTTGTTCGTGTAGCAGCCTGTACGTGCACCCAACATTTGGACTCGCCCTGCATGGCTGTTGTCCCTGTTCTTCCCTGTGGTCTCTGTTAATCTCACATATGTGCTGCCAGAGTTGCTTCTTCTAAGCAGGGGTCAATCTGTAAAGGGGCCACATGAGCTTATCCAGGTTTGAAATCCTCTGGGTAATGAATGGTACACAAACTTGGTGATAAATGCCCATGAATAGGTTCTGCATTAAATGTCATGGAAAAGCAAGACCTGGAATGTGATAGAGGCATGGATGCAAGAGCTATGGGAGCAACTTTGAGGGGTTTTTTTTCTTTGTGAGATAGTGAGGGACAGTTTAGCAGCCTCTTCGGTAGTGTTAGGTGTATCCCCACCCATTGTTTGCCACTCCTGATAAGGGAAGGATTTAAATGGCTAACTAGATCAAATTGTCAGAGGATATTGGGTACTTCTGTTCCCATCATTGATGTCAAGTTTGCTGCTTTTGCCCTTCTTCCTCCTAGACTGAGAAACCTGGGGATTTCTCATTCTTGATGATAGTGAAATATATGCTGTGCATGGGACATGACATTCCCCTCAATGTTTAAGATGCTAACATCTGAAGCAGTCAAAGCAAAATTTGGCTCACTTTCCAAAGCAGACTGACACAGTTGGACATAAGCCATACTGAAATACCTTCTGGGCAAATCCTAGCACACACATTAGTAGAAACTGACTCCAGGTTCTCCAGATTACTACTGTACAGCATCCAAATGTAATGGTATCATGTGGAGAAACACGGCCCCCTTCAAACTGCCTGATTCACTGGTGAGCTTTGTTGAAGTAACTTTCTCAATTCTCTGCAGGGTCCCCGGCCGAGCTGTCTCCTAGTACACTCTCTCCTGTTAATCACAGCTTAGGTAAGCTACAAATGCTGTTTTTCTTTACTGAATCTGGGACTCTTTCTTGCTGTGGAAACAAGCTCCTGTTTAGGAAGGAGAACTTTTTATCCAGGAAGAAGGATTTCTTTTGGTTGGTGCTTCTGTTCAGGCACCAGTCAGATCTGTTTCCAGTGGCTAATTCTTCCTACTTTAGCTATCAATGCTAATTTAGAAGCCCAGATGTTCAAACTCTGAAAATCGCGGCCTCCTCCAACATGTGAGGAACTTACAAAGAGAAAGAGGGGGATCCTGCCGTAGGTAAAACATTCCATTGTGAGCATCTGCTTTATTCTTATGTTTTGCTTTGTGTGATTTTGAGAAGAGTTGTGTTTTTATGCGGTGCTCTTTCAGTACTCTCAGAATACCAATGCTGGAGTAATATTTTAGCCATAGATCTTTGTAGTGATCCAAATGCTTCTGATAGAAGAGGACAACAAGGCTATTTGTACTGTAGGTAGATGGTAGTAGAACAGGATGCCCCAGAAGTTGGCAGAGGTACAGTGAATGCACATTCAGAAAATTGAGACACCTCTTTTACAGTTTAATTACTATCTTCTGCTTTAAGAAAAACCCAGAAGATGCTGCTTCTGGGGTGACTTTATAACTTTAGGAGAAAGCAGCTTGGGACTATAAAAGGCAAAATCCTAAAAAATTTTGTTCTGGCTGGAACTTTCCCTCAAGGGGTTGCAATCCACATACAAATGGCTTTCAGCCATCAGCAAGCAGAGGTATTTATATTTTAATTCTTGCTCAGTCTATGCACCTTGAGAAAATCTGCATAACAATAGCATGCCCACTGGCTTTATCTCTACATAACAATGCATTGGCCTACTAACTTAAAAAAAAGCATGACTTTCCCTTGATGGATTTTCATTCTGTTTTTTGGAGGTTTTAGCATAGATTCTTAGCTTTAAAATGAGGCCTTGTTTTGTGCCTTTTATTTGGGGTCCCGTTGTCAGCCCACGCAGCCATTCTTATGTTTCTTCTGGAGCAGTGTTTTAGACCAGGAACATTGTGACAGTGTTATAAAAGAATGAGTTGGTAGAACTTCTCATTTGTAAATTACACTTCAGAATATGTACCTGGGGTATTAAAGTCACCCCACAATGCCAGATGAAATTTACCTATACAGAATAACTTGTGAGCACGATCTTACAATACTGAAATAATACATAACATTTACACAGTGGTTTCTGAGTTGTGAAACAGGTTTGCATTCATTCTTGGTAATATTACACGGTTTTTAAGGTAGTTATGTATTCATACCTGGATTGCAGACATAGCACTGGAGCCGTTGGGCTTGTGGATGAGTTGAAACTTGAATTGTGGCACTCTGGCTCATAGCTCATGTCTTAGCCACTCTCTGACTTATCAGAGACAAAGAATTTCTCCTCCTCCTTCCCACACTACAGTGAGGCTGTAAAAGCCCCCACTGATGCCAGTGGAAACTTCCTAAAGTTTCTCTGCAGTGTTGGTGGGGGCCTTTGCAAGTATATTGCTAGAAAGGTAAGGACTAGCCTTCTATCAAAGCTTCTGTATCCCATGAAAAATAACCCCTTATTTTCTGCAGTCAGGTTTTCAGAAGCTTCATTGCAGTGGTGAAAAGGGCATGCTAGCCTCAATCCACCTCCGTTCTTAGGCTGAAAAACATCAGCTGTCATGGCACTGCACCTCTGTGACTGCAGTGTTTGGATTGTGGAGTGGTCAGCCAGTAATGCGGCCCTCTGTGTTGCCTAGACAGGTCCATAAATTTTTTTCAATCCCGCTGCTGCTGAACCAGTAATTGGGGTCCTTCAGCGTCTTGCATTCATGCTTTGTATGGGTTGGTTCTGTGTTTAATAAAAATGGGCCCTTTAAACACGAGTCTGTTACTATATTAAGAGTAATTAAAATACTAGTGGCACAGTGTGGAGCAGTCATGGGATGAACTTGTAGAGGTGGCTGAACAAAGTGTCATGAAAATTGTCTGCATGAAGCAGTCAGATAATCTGAGTATTCTGGGCAGGACTGTATCTTCAGTTCTTTTCCACTGTGTTGAGGTTTAAGTATACGTATAACATGCTAGCATGAATAATTATTTCTCTCTTCCCTTCAGACTTGCAGCCTGTTACCTATTCAGAGCCAGCATTCTGGTGTTCAATAGCATATTATGAACTAAATCAGAGAGTGGGAGAAACTTTCCATGCCTCGCAGCCTTCACTCACTGTAGACGGCTTTACGGATCCATCAAACTCTGAAAGATTCTGCCTAGGTTTGCTCTCCAACGTTAATAGAAATGCCACTGTGGAAATGACGAGACGGCACATAGGTAGCGCTTTCTTGCCATATGCTTGGTTGTTTCTTGTGATCTCAAGCACTGTCAATTCACATTGACAGTGCTTGAGATCACTGCATCTTTGTTTTTGAAAAAAGGTCCTGTTGGTGGCTAGCCTTGCAAATCAAACATGTAAAAAATAACCCATTAAAACAAAATCAACTCGGCATCAACATAACAGATGCCAACCAGAAGAGTACCAACATATCTAAATAATAGAAATGAAAAACCCTTTTGTCTAAGATCATTTTCATATGGCATGTGTGTTAAGATCCTGTAAATTGTTAGCTGTTTCTTCCCCCCACAGGAAGGGGAGTGCGCCTGTATTACATTGGTGGGGAAGTTTTCGCTGAGTGCCTAAGCGATAGTGCAATCTTTGTTCAGAGCCCCAATTGTAATCAGAGATATGGCTGGCATCCTGCAACTGTGTGCAAAATTCCACCAGGTAAGATATGGATAGCCAACAAAAACATTTCAGAGTATTAAAATGTTTTAGAAAAAAATCCAGTAAGGGGTGGGTAGGTGGGGTTTAAATCATTTCAATATGTTTAGCACAAGTAACTTTCCACAGTAGTGATGAAGGCCTAGACCTTATCGACAAATTGTAAGTGAACTAATCTGAGTCCAAATAGTTTCTGACCAGGAGTTTTTCAAGAACTCCAGTGTGGCTTGAAGATGATCTGGCAGACACTTCCCAAAAGACTTTTCATCAAGTGCCTCACTTTTGAGTAAAGCTGGCAGGCGTGGCATAAGGGGAAGAATCCTCTTAAGAATTGGTAACAGGTTGAGGAACAGAAAACAGAGTAGGAATAAATGTTTTCCCAGTGGAGGGATGTAAAGCGTGCCCACTCCCCCAAAAAGTTCTCCGCTGTGACTGGTGTTTTTTCACATGTTCAAACTATCTTAAGGTAGTGGATGGGAGTGAAGTGGCTAAATTGGCTAACAACACCAAATTAGGGTAGTTAAAAAGGATTTTTCCAGCATAGCACCCCAAATACTTTGGCCACCTAATGAGAAGGAAGGACTCCCTGGAGAAGAGCCTGATGCTGGGAACGATTGGTGGCAAAAGAAGGGGCCGGCAGAGGATGAGGTGGCTGGATGGAGTTACTGGGGCAGTTGGTGTGAGTTTAGGTGGACTCCAGGGGATGGTGGAGGACAGGAAGGCCCGGAGGAGTGTTGTCCATGGGGTCGCGATGGGTCAGACACGACTTCGCGACTAACAACAGCAACAAAAAACCCCCCAACTTTGGAATTCAGTCCTGCTCCAGGTCTGGTTGTCACCTACATTTTTGGCTTTTAGCTGCCAGATAAATACTTATTTAACAGTTATTTTAATAGGTGAGTCTTTATATATTAATTATACTGCCAATGGGACATGATTGTAAATTAGAGATATTTAGTAATTTTAATGGTTTAATGGTTCTATCCTTGGGTTTGTTTTTTTTCCCATAGAATTCTGCTTTCTCTTATTTTATCTAATTCTGTTAATTTATTCATGATATTAGTAATAATAATGATAGGTCTTTGTAATTTAAAGTTATATTGTGCTTGTATTATTTATTTTGTTGGATTTTAACATGTTGTAATCTGCCCAGAGAGCCTGTGATTAGCGGACAGGCATATACATTGAATAAATAAAGACTGTAAAGAACTCCAAAAGGATTGGTTCAAACTGGAGAAGGAGTATTAAAACGGAAAATGCTGTTCCTTCCCTTTCTCAGTTATTAAGCAATGTAAGCCAGTAGAATGGTGGACACGCTGGGGCAAGGGATCGTAACTTCATGCATACCTTGAAGGGGGTGACTGGCCAAGAAAATATACTGAGGTTGCGGTGGGCAGCTCATGGAAGACCTTCCCTTGTGTGTCTGCTGTGAAAAAGGCAAATTCCATGTTGGGGGCAATTGCTAATGCTGCAGTGCCCTTACCCAAATCTGTGGTGCGGTCTCCATGCTGTAGTGCTGCGAATGCCATGATGCCACGAATGGGCAATCAGAATGATCATGGGGCTGCAGCTGCTCTGAAGAAGGGTTATAAAACTGTGGGTTTTTCGTGTAATCACAGAACCAGTGTGGTGTAATGGGTAAGAGCATGAAACTGGGATTCCCATGATCCTGGGTTCTAGTCCTTGACTTCTGTAACGCACTTTATGTGGGGCTTCCCTTGAAGACGGTCCGGATACTTCACTTGGTTCAAAATAGAGCTGCCAGGTTGCTGACGGGGACAGGACATTATGTTCACATGACTCCAGTCCTCCGTCAGCTTCACTGGCTTCCCATTGAAGTCCGGGCCCAATTCAAGGTGTTGGTGATGACCTATAAAGCCCTAAACGGCTTGGGTCCTGGCTACCTGAAGGAGCACTTACATCCATATATGCGCAGTCGCCCCCTGAGATCGGCAGGAGAGGCCCTTCTCCGGGAACCCTCCATGAAAGAAATTAGGAGGGTAGGTACTCGGAGGAGGGCTTTCTCTGCGGTGGCGCCCAATCTATGGAATATGCTTCCCAGAGAGGTCTGCCTGGCGCCATTGTTATTTGTTTTTCGGCACCAGGTGAAGACCTTTTTATTTAAACGTCATTTTAATTGTTAACAATATTTACTTATTTATCTGGCCAGGGCGACTTCTTTTCTTTTCCTTTTCCTTTATAACTTTTCTTTTATAACTTCTTTTATATCGTTTATATTTTTTATTTATTTTATATTATTAACTTTAATTTTATATTGTTATTTTTGTATTGTATTGTATTTTATTGTGTTGTAAGCCGCCCTGAGGCTTCGGCAAGGGGCGGCATAGAAATGTTCTAATAATAATAATAATAAATAATAATAGTCCCCACTCAGCTAGTGGAGCTAACTGGGTGACTTTGGGCCAGTCACAGACTCTCAGCCCAGACTCTCAGTAAAGGTATAAAAGGATGGGTGGTGTGGAAAAATGGACAGGAGAAACTAGTGAAGCTAACTGGTGGGAGACTTGGTGTAGGCACAAGGAAACACTTCACACATACTGCATAGTTCCCCCATGGAACTGGGTGCCACACAATGTAGTAACATTGCAAGCCGTCCAGAGACAATTGGTATAGGATGGGGTAAAACGATCATTCATTCATTCATAGATAGATAGATGGGATAAAGCATTCATTCATTCATTCATTCATTCATTCATTCATTCATTCATTCATTCATAGATAGATCGATCTCGTTGGCCACTTGGAGCTTTAAAGGGAGATAGGACAAATTCCTGGAGGCTCTGTTAGTAGCTACTGGCTACAGAGACTATGCATTTCCTTCGCCATTGGAGGCAGCATGTCTGGTGTACCAGTGGCGGGAAGCATGAGCATGCTGTTGCACTTCCGTTTTTTACTGTTGCGCACTTCCCATGGGCATCTGGTTGAACAGTGGGCAACCAAAGGAATAAGTAGGCTGGCGGTCTGACTCAGTGGAGCTCTTCTTACTTCATCAATCCTTTAACCGTTTTTCTTTGTATAGGCTGTAACCTGAAGATCTTTAATAACCAGGAGTTTGCTGCTCTTTTGGCTCAATCTGTGAATCAGGGCTTTGAAGCAGTGTATCAGCTGACTCGAATGTGTACCATACGGATGAGTTTTGTTAAAGGATGGGGAGCTGAGTACAGGTACAGAGCCTTTCTTCCTTCCTTGCTTGTCGAATTACCCTGTGTCAGAGCCATACTGAAGGCAGGCCAGGATTCTGCAGTGAGAAGAGCAATGATAGCAGATGAGCTTTCCAGTAACTACTGCAGAGAACTCTGGACTGTATTACTGGGTAGTGAGAGACTTGGTTTATGTGGGGGCTTAGTGAGATGGGTGGGCTTGTCACAACCCTACACAAATGGAGAGCAGGCTGTGTTCTAAGGCACAGTGCCCTCTTTAATTTAACTTGACTCAGTAGCACCCTGTCCTCTGGATAAGAAGAAGGTAGCTGCTAACTTGCAAGCTCGTTCTCAAGCACTTTGATGCTATGCTAGGGTTCCCCTGCCCTGGCTTATGTCGTATACCCTTGAAACATGAGTCAATTGATAGTTGGAAAAACTGAGGCTGAAAACAGTACAGAGCACATTTAATTTTATCCGTTGATCAACTGCTGCAAGTGAACAAAGTATTTTCAACTTTCCCTCGCACTGAGCCCTCTCCAGAAGCAGAAAATATGCCGTCATTACGGACACAGTAATTTCTCTTTCTTACATTCGGATAGGTTGAAAGTTCAGCTTGAGTATCCTATTCAGGTAATGACAAGGCCAAGGTGCTTGGTAGCGGGGAAAATGGATGTGGAGGTTTTGCTTCTTGGTGGATTTGTGTGATAAGACAAATAGACCTCAAATCACACTGAATGTGTGGCAATATTGAACTGAACAGGCAGCTTTTTGACATGGCACTTGACACAAACCAGGCCATGTTTAATGCTATTTTTGGAGTTGGAAAGGATTACTTCTTTTGCTTCATCCTTGTGTTACCAATGCTGTCAGATTTGCATAATTGGCTTATCTTGCAACAAAGTTTAAATTCAGTCAGATTTTGAAGGCTTTGACTTCTGATCTTAGAAAGCAAAAGATTTAATTTGTAAAGTTATAGCTGGTTTGAGAGGATCCTGCCTTTGTGAAGAGAATAAAGTTGGACAACCTCTTTCAGTCCTTGCTGCTTACATACTGCTTCCAAAAGTAGGAAGACATACAGAGCGAATGTGTCAAAGTGACAGTGTTTTCTCCTTCAAAAAAGTTGGTTGGGTGCCTGTGCTCCATGAACAGGTGCCACCTGTGAACTGCTGCTGTATGTCAAACAAAAGGCAACCAAAGGATGGGAAAAGGCACCTGTTGAAATGGAACTTGCTGACAGGCCAACTTTTAGAGGGTGGGCAATGAGAAACTGGCTGGCCACCTTCTGAAGTCTTCTCAAAGTGGCCCTGTAAGTGGTCTAGTTGCTGAGCAGGGATGTCATTCTTCGGCCTGTGTACTGATTTTACAGTGTGTTTCCTCCTCTTCTTTCCCCCTTTTCTAGGCGGCAAACAGTAACAAGCACTCCTTGTTGGATTGAGCTTCACCTGAATGGGCCTCTACAGTGGCTTGATAAAGTATTGACTCAAATGGGCTCTCCATCAGTACGCTGTTCCAGCATGTCGTAAAGCTGCTTCTCATTACTGGTGGGCTTAAAATAGGAAGTCCAGGCAACAGACTTAAATCTAACAACTCGTCTGTCGTAGTAACTCGTGTGTGGTCTCCATGAACTGTTTCCTATCCAAAAAGTTCTGAGAGAGAGAGAGAGAGAGAGAGAGAGAGAGAGAAAGCACTTGAGGGTCTCGTCAGTTTTAAAGCACCTTGTGGATTTTGTTTCCTATACTCTGATAACTAGATGAAACGTTAGTGTATAGAAAAGCCTTCTTTTGAAGGAGGGAGGGACAATTTAAAGACTTTAATGGTGTCTTTATTGGGTATATATAAACTGAGTGTCCTAAAGGTTTACCAATAACATGGATGGTTTTAATGTATCTTGGACTCCCCCTCCCCCCAATATGACACCGTTCTGCTGTCCTGAGTTTTCCCATTGTTAGATACTTGGAGCTCTTTTGATCTAGGCAGCCATCTCATAAAAAGCCCAAGTTCTTGCTTCTCCATATTTTTTATATTTTTATATATAAATATATATGCAGGCTTTCCGCTGCCCTATAACAGACTTTTATTACAGAAAAGCTTCCCCCTCGATACACATTCCTTGTGTACTAGCTGCCTCCTTAAACCTCTCTTTGGAAAGGGAACATTTCTTGTTTCCTCTCTTGAAATCTTGGCCCTTGATTGTGCTTTAATGAACCCTAAATATCCAATGTAAATTTGGATCTCTTTCTCCCCACACCCTCCACTTCCAAATCATGTTTAAGAAAAATTCCTCTGTTGCCTGTCCAGGGCGATGCACCTGTTGCTGGCAGTGGGTGCTGTGACACCTTTTTGTCTGAAAACACGGGCGAGCACTCTTGAAAGATGCACTGATGGGTCAGTGCACCTGCAACATTACCTGGTTTCTTCACCACGGTCAAGAGGTGAGGAACAGGCTGGTGACCATGCATCGCAGTCTCCTTGAGTGCCTCCTAGGCCTGCATTTCTTCCCGGACTGTGGTTAAGCAGTACTGTGGTGCCAACGTTCATTGTGGATCATGGTTTCTTCTTCACCTTCTCTTTCAAGCAGGATTTGAAAGCATTAAGGTAGCCCTCATCGTGGCTAACATTGCTACGATGGGGCTGTAGTCAGTGGGATACATCCAGTGCTAGTCTAACTTGAGCCCCAGTCACTTCATTGGCTTTAAGTGAGACTAACATTGGTTGCAAGCCATGGTAATGCTTAACCTGTGGTCCAGGAGACAGGAAGGATTCACACCTGTTTCAGCCTCTCTTAAGCGTCTGCACTAGCTCTCTGTCCCCAAAGCCACAAATGTTAATGCTAACTCTGCAGCCTCATGCATCTGTCACAGAAGTAGCCTTTTTTAGGAGCAGTTTCTGAATCTTGCCCCCCCTCCCCCAGATGTGTGTTACAGCTCCGTCATTGCCTTTGCATAGAATTTTGGTTTGCACATAACGATCACCTAGAGTATGGGTTGAATCATGGATTTTTGTCACTTGCAGAACCTGCACTGTGTATCAACAACTGGGTTGTTAACTGTTAAGAACCTGGGAAGAGTACGATGGCTTGTTGTCAGGTTGTGAGCTCTAGGCTATTCGTGGTTACAACCCATAGTTGAAGTATAGTGTGGGGTTCATGTGTAATGACCACTCGCAATTCAGAAAGAAATTGGACAGCATAGAAATAAAATAAGTAAGTAAAATAAATAAAACTATAGACCATACTTTGGGTTGCCATTATATGCAGACTAGGTCAGAGTGCATTCAAAGAAGTACCCCTGTGTTTTTTCATAAAGAAAAGGAGCAACAGCCGCAAGGCGGTGATGCTTCTTGTGTGTCCTGAAGCCATCCACAATAAGAACTTTCGGCAGGGATGGGTATGTGGAACGCGAAAGCGTGGCTGAACTCAAGGCAAGTTCCCACTTCCCTGTCCCGGTCCCTTTTCTGGTCCTCCATCTTCCACCACTGCTCTAGCAGGACTCCCGGTATGCCACACAGCAATTGGACTTGGATTTAAAAAGAAGAGAATGGGGTGAAGAATATGTTAGTTCCTTGGAAGATTTAAAAGGGGATAGTAATGCTCCACAAGTTAGCCTGGCAGTCCTGAAAGTGTTCCCCTCCCTTGCCACACAGTGGAATGAACTTCCAGAAGGGTTTGAATGTAAAGTGTGGCGAAGCTGTAAGTCTTTCAGGGTGGTCAGATCAAAGCAATATGGCTTAATCTAGGAGGATCCATTATGGAAGGAATGGACCTTGCAGAAGCATTTGTTTCTGCAGCCTCCCTGGGCTCGGTGTTGCTCGAGGTGTGTGATCAGCAAAAGGAAGACTCCATAGTACATGTTATTGTGAACCCTTGGACACTATTTCTGGACCTTGCTTTAAACAATACTTTGAACTATATTCTACAAATAAGTTGGGTTGGGTAAGGGTTGGGAAACTGTATAGAAGGGTTCTTCTGACTTGAAAAGTATACATCTTACTAACAATCTTGTGATCTAGCTGTCTGTCATTCTCGTTGTTGTGGCAGTAGCAGGATTGCCTTTTGTCTGTTTTCTTTTCCTTCTCCTCCCCTCACCCCAGACCGTTTGTTTGCACTAGTGCTGTACTTTGTAAGTACACCTAGCAGCAACTTCAGCTTTGAGAACAAATGTGGCCAGTGTTAAGCTTTGTAATCAGCTGACTGAATGGATGATAGCAGTGGATATATTTATGCCATAATAAATAGGGCATAGGAGCAATACCAAAAACCAAGCCTGGGGGTGGGGCGGGGCATCAGAATGGACCAGGCAGTTTAAAAGAATTGGCAATTACCAATTTGTGTAGTTTTACCAGTAGACTAATGTATTGGTAGAACTCGTGAACCTAAGAGATAAGCTTTCATGCGTGTTGCATTTGCCTAATATGTGAATACACTAATAAAAGTTTTAATTCTCACCACTTTGTTTGATTGGTTAAAGCTGTAACACTCCATGTAGCAGGTCTTGCTTGGATCTAGTGGGTTGGGTGACTAGGAGGCAGAAAGAACCCCCCCCCCCAGAGCCCGCATGACAACGCTTTCTTTGAACCTGGAGGATTTTGAATATGACAGTGCTGAGTAGATCTGTGCTTCGGCCATTCATATTTGTTGATCACTTTCTGTCTGCAAGGGAAAGACGAGGTGCATCCACCTTCTAACCATGCAGTAAAAGAACTTGATGTGCTGCTGTTGCCCTGTCCTGAAGCAGTCTAAGCATTTCTGTGCAGTTTCTACTGCGAAATGGAATTCCTTCTGTTTATGGAAGGGAAATGAAGCCTTTAGCCCAAACTGTTAGCTTGAAAGCAAGCTGGTTAACCCAGAGGCAGGGCAGCTGTGTCTACATGGGCACTTTTCGTTTGCCCAGTCGGCCCTTGCCCCACTCTGATGACGCTCCTGCTCGCTGGAATGCACTTGCGCTTCCTCGTTGGCAAAGATGGCACAGCCTACAAAAAACGGAGCAGGCCATGCTGGACCAGGCTAGAGGGCTTTGCACTTCTGCCAGTCACTCGCTAAAGTGGGTAGATCTGCTTGGCTGTGTCTTTTCAGGGCGGCTTTAGAGAAGCCAGCACACGGGTAGCCTGCTTGGGACGCAGTAGCTGTTTTTACGAAATTAGCGCGATCTGTGTTCAGAGGTGATTTTTATTTCCACTCGCTGTAAGGGGCGTTTTCTAATGCTGTGGTCATTATCTTTATGCATTTGTCAGAAAGTTTACATTGCATTACAATTTCTTCCAGTATCTGTCCTGAAGCATCCTATTTACCTGTCACTTTTGTTCCAAGACCTTGTTCTCCTGCTGTAAACCGCTCCAGTTTGTTGAACTGTCAGTGATAAACAAACACAGAGGGGTTTTTTAAAGTTTGCAAAATGTGTACAGGCAGGACAAAACTGTCCAAAGGGAGGGTGTGGAAAAGATGCAAATCTAGAAAAGTCCTTTGCTGACATCTCTTGTTCCTTTGGGTGACAAATGGCATTGATCTGCGACTACTAAAATCATAGCTGATGGAGCTGTATTTAAAACCATTGTTAAACCATTATAAAAAACTGGTTTCAAAAGCAAGAGCAGTTTCTGAATGGAATTTCCAGTAGTCAAACTGCATGGCTGTAAAGTTCTTTGACTTTGTCAAGTGTGCTTGTATGTATTGCTGAAACACTCAAAATGCTTTCCTGCAAACAGGATTGCCTAATGGAACTACCTTTACACGTGTTTGTGTTAGAATGGTTGTTGTGCCACATCTTGCGTTTGTAAACTTGAGTGCTGAGAGAATGGTGTCAAAAACCTGTTCTATGCATCAGGGGTTTTTGTTTTTTTTTTTTAAAGACTACTCTGTTGGGTAGCTTGAGTTGACGGACCAGTCTTCATCCAGATTCGTACAGGAAAGTACTTCTGGGGCAAAAGATGGGAGAAAAACCACCACCAAGTACAAGATGAATTCCCCAGTGGAAGAATGGACCAGGCAACCATGAAGTAATAAAGCGTCATGTGCAGAGACCTTTCCCATGAACCGTGGCATTGCGTGTATGTCCACGGAGGCATGAGACTTCCAGTTTTGCCTGTCCCTTCATGTCCCCAGCCATGCTACGTCTGTCCCCTCCTGCTTCAGCTCAGGTGATGGTTGCCATGTCGGTTGCTATGTTCCAGTTCTGGAGCACTCCTCCGATAAGATCTCCTGGTGCCTACATTATCCTCTTCAGGGACAGGCGAGCTCCCTTGAACCTCCCCAGTAGCGCAGTGTGAATCCTGCTGAGGGTTTCATGCTGTCCCTATGATTTTATGACTTCAGCTTGTTCCATATTTTGTATTTAAAATGTAATTGCTTTGTTCTTTTGAGGGGGGGATATAATTAATTAGTTGGCATAAATGACACGGCAAGTCCCTGTGTCCTTAAGGTATGAAAAAGGCAGCACTTGTGAATTTAGGGGCCAAACCAGATGTGATGGGTATAGCCACACGCCTGCCTATTCCTATATGGAATTTAATTTCAGAAAAAATAATTTCGGCCTAAATTTAATTTCAGAAATAACAAAATTTGGACGAAGAGCAGAACTTCCAAACCTTGTATTGCCTTCCAGTTTTTCCCCTCTTCAGCTCAAATCTTAGAAGAAAAGTAACAATGGGGGCTTAGGTAAGGTAGGGTTTTGTGCCTTAAAGTACGTTTGATTTATTTAGTAAAGCATCCCACCCTTTAAAGCCAAGAATGCTCTTAGGATGGTTTACAAAAAAATCACAAGACAGTCCTTGCCTACAGTCTTGCATCCTAACAGAAATGACACACCAGAGAAAAGGGGAGGAGGTGGAAAAGCATGTTCAGGCACGAGTTCTTCAACTGGAATAGAAACTATTTAGGGAACTTCATGGGAGGGCTGCTCTTACGTGACAGCTGAGCAGGGAGTTAGCACTGGAATAGCCCAGGTCCTGTCCCTCAGCTCGGCAGCCTCACTTACCGTGTGTGTTGTACACAAGCAGGGCAGATGCATGGCTGTAGGAGTTGGGCCGCCCCTGGACCATCATCTTTTGGTCCTGAGCTCCTGAAAGGGCTTGAAAACGTGTGAGTTAGAAATGCCCGGAAGTCTGTGTGAACGCTTCACTGTAGCAGCACCATGCAAGACTTTAGGAAATGACTGGCAGATCTATCAGATATTAGCTCTCTTCTCTGCTTCGGTTCCAACAGTTCTGGCCTCTCTTTAGTCTGCCATGTTTGCCCAGTTCCAGCCTGGCACCACTGAAGCCAGGCTTGAGCCATACCAGCTGCTTTTGATTTCTTTCTTTTCCCAACCCTCCCCCGCTCATTGTTATTTCGTATACTTACTGTACTTTGCATCAAGTGCTCATTGAATAGAGGGGGTGATACAAAAATATTCTAAATAACGAGCACAGATCAGATCACCTAATCCCCATAAGACTACCTGACTGCTGAGCTTGTCAGGGGATAACCGCCTGTTGGTACCTAGATTTGAAGCTTCAGTCTATCATGGCTCAAGATACGGCCTTCAAGTATTGCAATACCCACTCCCTAGAACTCCCAACCCTTCTGGTTTTTGGTATCTTCCAAAAAATACCCTTTTCAGCAGGCATTCCCAGGGTGATGATCTTGTACTCCATAAGAAGCGTTGTTTTTGCACATGCCATAGATGTGAATTTTTGCAAGCCCTTCATTCCTAAATAAAACAGCTGGGTACTCATCAGATGCCTCTTTTTAAACTTAAAGGGCTGTTTGGCAGATCTGTGCTGGTTCAGATAACATTGCTAGCCATACTCCAGCATCCCCTTCCAGAAAGTTAGAAACTGCAAGATAATGGACACCTGCACTCTGTTCAAGACGTAAACATGTTGGGATTCCCACAGCCAGAATGTGGCAGTTTATTGTTTTGCAACGCATGCCAACAGCAGGCAGCAGTTCCTTCCAGTGAGCCCAAGGACAAGCTTCTTGGGACTTCCTGCAGCACTAAGCCGTCTCGTCTTAAGAGACATGGAAAGGTGAGGTGCATGTGGAGCCTCTTTGGGGAGGTACTTAACCTGGGTCCAGGGGTTCCTCACCTGTGCAGCAGAACGGGGGAGGAAATGCAGGCCTGACCACCACTGCCCACCCCTCAAGGGCTCCAAAATGCGTTCATCCCTTGGGCAGAAAGAGGTGCAGCCTTTTGTAGAGTGTTCATATCTGGTAGCTGGATTCTGTAGGGGATCAGGGAAAAATAAAGGAGAAGCATTCCTTTAGCATAGATGAGCAAATCAAGTCATTCCATTAATTTATTTAAAACTCACCTTTCCATATGAGTCTTTCCAAGATGGTTGGGTAGAGAGATTGGAAAATGGAACTCATCCATTCCACCCAAGAGTGTTCTGAGTTTCTAATTAGCTCCAGGCTCTTGGCTGTTCTTGTTGTTCCATGTGTTGGCTTTCAATCAGTTTTATTTTTAAATCGGCTTACTTGACGCCAATTACACTCAAAATAATATATATGCAAATTTGCCTGCACTGATCCTGTTGGCAGGGCTCCTTTGTAGCAAGAGCACCATGGCCTTATGTGTGCAGCTTGCTTCGAAATGTTGATCTAGCTGCCTCCCCGAACTACAGAAAAAGCTGGCTTTAGCAGAGCCAGGACTGACTAATCTTAAGAATGTGGTGTACACAGAGGAGCCTGCCCTGGGTTTCTGGGTGAGTTGCCACCCTTGCCTGCAAGCAGCCAATTTTGCTGCTTGTTTGACTTGGGAACAATTGCATGAACGAATCAGTTGATGGGAAGCTTCATGCTGAGTCAGACTCTGGGTCCATGTTACCCTAGTATTCTTGACCCAGGCTGGCAGGAGTGGCTCTTCAGCGGGGAAAGTTGGGATCGAGCTGGAGCTCGAAAGGACCTGTGTGCAAGGCAGCAGATGCTGTGCCGCTGAGCCCCAACTGTGGCAGCCGCACGACTTGGTTGGAGGCACAAATTGAAAAGTCGAGGGGAAACAGAGCATCCTGCAGAGGGATCAGAGGCAGAGCTACTGAAGGCTTTAAAGGATCCTGCCCTCCAAGGAGCACCTATTTGCAGAAAGGGACCTTGGGTGGGCAGAGGAGGGAATTTCAGAAAAAGCTGCAGCAGCAGGAGATGAAGCTCGTGTGGGAAAAATGCCAGCTAAGATGCAATGGATCATGAGGTCCAGTACCTTTATTTCAGCATGGGCAGATGATACCTCAGGGATTCCACTCTCCAGCCCTATTGGAGCATCCAGCAGCCGCCTCTGTGTGGGATATTGACTGATCGTGGTGTGGGGCACCTGCTTTGTCTTTGGAAGTTCCCAGTAAATGGAATAGGTAGCATCAGGCGATCCAGAAAATAACTCCTGGATCTTGGGGGGATTTTGTTAGTCCCAGTTGCCATTTCTGGGCTAGATGGACAAGCAGCTTGCAGTCTGAAGTAACCTCTTTTGTATGGGGAC